TGATCAATGCAAAGTTTATATTTTAAGCCATTCACATTCCAACACATGAGGGAAGCACGCTCCATAGTGTCAGCTTCGTTGTCCATTTCAATGTCAATTTCGCTGTCAATCAGAGCCGGGCCGCAGTCCTATCTTCGGTCACGTGGTTGTTTGCTGACATCTGACGTCATTCGAGCACGTGGATTTGTGGGCGTGTCGTCTGTCCCTTTCAACACAACAAGCTTGTCGTTTTCCAAGTCGTATGTATACACGCAATCAGTAGTAATCAGCTTGTCAAACCGAAGAAACGCTCGTTCATCCTTGTCCCTGGCATCCATCATTGCTGGCTTCAGTTTTCTTCTTTTTTCTCGGACAGTCTTAGAGAAGTCTTCACTGATCCACATATCTGTGCCCTTTAGCTTCTTAGCTGATGTGAATATGTTTCGTCGATCATGATCGTCAGGTATCCGAGCAACTATCGCTTTCCCGTTGATTATTCTGTGAGCACGGTTGATACAGATGTTTGAATCGTCAATCTCAAGGTCGTTTTTCATGATGTTTCTCACAATAACTTCACAATCATCCCACGACTCGTTCGGCTTTGCTTTCGGAACACCATGAAAAATCATATTTGCACGCCTGCTCTGATTTTCGAGATAATCTACCTTGTCCTCCAATTTGTAAACATAGTCTCTCAACTTCGTATTTTCATTTGATAGATGTTCACATTTTTCTTCTACAACATGTAATTGAGCACTCATGTTCACAATTGGTGCGTTAATAGTGTCTAACTTACTGTGCACGTCCTTGTTGGACTTCACTACTTCGTCGAACCTGTGTGTGAGATCCTGGATGGCTTGATAAACTAGGTCAGACCGAGATTGTTCAGACTCATTTCCCAATGACAAATACGTCTGTTTGGTGGCACCTCCACTTCTTGTCTCTCTTCTGTCGTCCACCCGTCGATCTGTGGGACCTGGGTTAGGCTCCACACCCGCACGCAATAGCAGAGCAAGTATAAGGTTCAACACTGTGATCCGGGTGGCTATACTCGCCATTGCTTGTTTACGTGGTACTGCTCGCCGACACATCTTCGACAATATCCACCACTGGGTGTGTGCAAAACATCCAATTTTAGCACGAAACTGTTGTGGAGTAATTGCCATTTTCGATTTTAACAGTTTTGGATTTGATGCACTATTCACTCTGCATATATATGTGGTCAGTCCATTGACAGATTTTCACCTGTCTACCTGTTGTCGGCCATATTGTCACTCTCATCCTCATACCAGTATGTGTCAATTAAGGACACAATTAAAATGTTGTATCAGCATTTTCCAGATAGTTTTAACTTTAAACCATCAAACATAGAACATATATTCATAGATGTGCCTGATGGGGAAGTCTACAAGTCAAATACCCTTTTGAGCAGGAGGGAAAAACATTCACAATAATCCTTTATCAAGATGCATTTGAGGTAGTAAATCCCTTGGGTTCAGCAAAGAAAAAGCATAAATTGATTGGTGTATACTACACTTTAGCCAACTTTGATGTTCACAATAGGTTCAATATAAATCATATGCAGTTAGCTGTTTTGTGCAAGGAGAATTACCTGAAAGTATTTGGTGCCCAAAATGTGTTGTCAAAACTGGTTGGAGAAATCCGAGAGCTGGAGTCAGTTGGTATAAGAGTTGGGGAAGATGATTACACAAAAGGGACATTGTTATGTGTAGCAGGAGACAACCTTGGATCTCACATGTTAGGTGGGTTTCTAGAAAACTTTAATGCTACTTATTTCTGTAGGTACTGTTGTATAACAAAGGCAGACCTTTGAGGGTCAGATGGTTTAGCTAAAGGCTGCAGAAGAACAATAGAACTCTACAAGCACTCTGTTCAAATTCTCATGGACAATCCAGACATGTCAAATCATATGGGCATAAAATCAGACAGCAATATGAACACTTTAGACTTTAACCATGTTGCCATGCCAGGTTTGCCCCCCTGCATTGGTCATGACTTGTTTGAAGGGATAGTTCCATATGACATGGCACTAATGATTCGCTATTTTGCAATAGAGAAACACTTTTTTACCTATGATCAGTTAAAGAGGAACATTGAAAACTTTAGATCGTCCGTGCACTGTAAATCTTCAAAGTAACAAAGCAGGAGGTTAAGCTATACAGAACTGGGTTTTTATCAGACTTTTTTCCCTGTTGGTTGGATCATGGATTCAACACACTGACAGTGTTTGGCAGATGTATTTGAAACTGAAGGAAGTCATTGAAGTCATGTTCTCCACGCATATCTTTCAGTCAGATCGCATATCTCAAGGTTTGCATTGAGAAATATATCTGCGATCGAAAGTCACTCTTTGCTCATACACCACTGCGTCCAAAACACCACTTCCTCACTCACTACACTGAAATGATTTTAGCTGTTGGTCCTCTGATACATGTTTGGACAATTTGATTTGAAAGTAAACACTCCTACTTTAAACAGTGTGTGAGAAAATTTCACAACTACAAACACATCACTAAAACTCTTCCGGTAGTTCGTTTTCAAGTGAAATTCGCTCTGATGATGGTATCCCTTTTATTACAGAAAATTATTGCAAAGATTTCCAGGAAGCTGTTAAAGAAAAGTCTTTTACTGGGATGAACACCACTAATTCCAATCAACTTGTGTACAGAGGAATAAAATATCAGACAGTCATGGTATTGGTGCTGTCATTTGCAGGAATTGACAGTCATATTAGAAGAGGAGGTTATATCAAAGGGATTCTTGTCAGGGACTCGACTGTTTTCTTTCTATTGCATCTTGGAAAGTCTCTTCCTGTTCCAACACTTGGCCTTTGTGCTCTGATATTTGAAACATTTTCAATTGTATGTGTTAATACATCTGAACTTGCAGATCTACATCCCCTCAGAGAATATACAGCTTTCGGTGAAACTTACATTTCTTGGAAACACAGCATAGAGAAATAATGGCTGATCCCACTGATGCACTTACTGAAGATATAATGAACATTTTACCCGATATTGATGAAACATCGCTGCAGTCATTGATGGGAAGATTAATGTCATTGGGTGTAGAAACTGTTGATGATTTAGATTTAGGACTTCTACAGGTGCGAGATGTTGAGGGGGTTTTGAAGCCTGTCCAGATAAGGAAAATCCTCACATCTGGTAAGTCGAGTACATTTCCTTGTTGGTCTGTTTCATCTGTGTTTAGATATTGTGTGCCTGTATTGTTTTCCACGGGGTTGATAAATGGAATGCCCATGGCATGACTTGCCTGGTTTTCTTTTCTTATGGCGAGCTGACATACTGAGCCAAAATCTTGTTTATTCTTCACAATGATTTCTCTCAAAAGCATTATGATTTACTGGACAACTAATGTATATGCCAGTGAAGTGAATGTTTGAGCCCTATTTGTATTGTAGATTGTATATTTTGGATATATACTCTCCCAAAAACGAAACGCATCATGAAAATAGCAATTTCATGTAGCAATGAATTAAAACGTGATTCATTTTACTAAAGGTTTTGCTCTGTTTATGAATCCTATGGTGTTTATGTTTTGAAACATCACAACAAAACGCACCATCCGTAAAATACCCGTATTTAACAGCATGATTTTCAATTTCGGAATGTATTGTCAGAGAATACACAATTCACATGCAATGCACGTGAAAGTTGGGGATCAGATAGTCTCAATGATGGGTATAAAAGGTTAATCGCTGTCTGTCGATTATTCACTGTATTTGGAATATTGTTGACGAACGCAAAAAGCCACGTCTAAGTGAAGCCAACCGTCATATCGCCATTGGTTTGCTTGAAGCTGGCCAGTCTCAACGTGCATTTGCCCGATGCATTAATGTTCACCAAAGCACCATTTCACGGCTCTGGGAGAGATATCGCCGGCAGAATTCGGTAGCAGATGCCCCACGTAGTAGGCGACCTCGAGCGACTACTGCGGCGCAGGATCGCTACATCCGGGTACATCACCTGCGTCGTCGAACAGCTACGGCAACCAGTACCGCTCGACAAATACCCGGATTGAGGAGTCTTTCTGCACAGACCGTCAGGAACAGGTTGAGAGAGGCTGGTTTACGTGCCAGAAGACCTTATTTTGGCCCTGTGCTTCGACAACAACATCGTCGACATCGAGTTCAATGGTGCACCAACGTTCAGGCCTGGAACCTACCGAATTAGCGTAGAATCTGGTTGAGTGATGAATCACGATTTCTATCGGAACGACGCGATGGAAGAATGCGGGTGTACAGACGTCGATGTGAACGTTTTGCCGACGGTTGCGTTCCCCAGGTGGACAGATTCGGCCGGGGAAGTGTTATGATGTGGGGAGCGATCACCTGCCGTAGGAGAAGTGATTTGGTGATGATCAAGGGCAACCTGACAGCTCAACGGTACTGTGACGAAATCCTACGCCCACACCTCCTTCCAATCATTGATCGCCAGAGGGAGTTGTTTCAACAGGACAATGCAAGGCCCAACACAGCACGTCACACTGGAGACTTCCTCCAGAACCACAACATGAATGTGCTCCCCTGGCCCTCAAGATCACCGGACTTAAACCCGATCGAACATCTGTGGGATGCCCTGGACAGACGGCTGCGACGCCCTAACCCTCAGCCCCAGACAGTTCAGCAACTCGCACAGGCACTACAGGCAGAGTGGGCTGCGATTGGGCAGCACAAGATTCTGAGACTTATTCGTTCGATGCCGTGCAGTTCTGGATGCCCACGGTGGTCACACGAGGTATTGACTTCAGCGCCACCACACGTCTCCATGTGACACACCTCGAGTTGGTGCCAAAGACGGATAAGTCTGCATTCCCAGTGTGCAATTTCGCTATATTTCATTGACTAATAAAGCCTACAAGATGTTTCAAAATAAACATAAAAATATAGTTGAAATTCCTATATGCGTTTCTTTTTTGGGAGAGTATATTATTTCATTACAATAAACCATTTTGTTTACAGTGGCTGACAATAAAGCCAGATGAAGCTAGAAATTTCTTACAGTTGCATTCATATAAATCTACTAATACATACTGAATTTGTGTGTTTTTTAAGGTGGGAAAGTGAATGTTCAACTTGCGAAAAGGTCCTCATCTCAATCTGAACCTTCAAGTCCAGTTTCTTGAACAGCATCGATGTCTCCTATAAGCAGTTTAGGGTCACCAAGCTCGATAGTCTTTGAGAACAGCACCAACACAGATCCAAACTGGGCTTACAAGGTTGATATTCCATGGACCAAAATGGGCAGAGATATAACAGGTCAGATTCCATCATGTTGCTAATGCTCATTATCAAAGTTGTATTCAACTCATGTTCGATGACTAAATTGGTCAGCAGTCATTTTAATATGGTGAGTAAGTTGTCAGTGAAATGTATTTCCATATGTTGAGTAAAGTTGCTCTTAATTTTCTTCTGCTTCAAATTAGGAAAGTTATATACTCTGTTAACCATATGCTCTTTCTTTCCTCCACCAGATCCATTGCAGAAAGGGAAAAGATTCATGCCTGATGCCAGGAGAAAACATTGTTGAATCATTGTTGATGAAATCAGAGAGAGGACCTTTCATGCGACAAAAACACAGTTCAGTGTCATTGCAATTGAATTGTACAGAGGTTTCCAAAGAGTCTAGAGGATAGGATAGAATATATCGTTGTAGGAACAGGATATGATTCATTCGCAAAGCAGCTCCTTAACAGAAATGACAATGGGAGTGAAGATGGGTGTGAAGACAAGTGACGTAGGAGAATCAAGTGGGAAAAGAAATGCTCCTCAGGAAGTCCAAGTACACTATTTGACACACCATATTGTTCAAGCTCTAGGTTTGTAATAAAAAAACTTCACAAACCTTCCTTCTTTGTCATGTTCTATGTATTTCAAGAAATTGGTATAGTTGTAGTGTTTTCCTTTTCATGTTGAAATGCAGAAAGACTGTAAATTATAAATTACATTTGAAATGTTAATCCACGACAAATGTTTGGCAACCATGCTGCCAGTTATTTCATCGTTAATTTACAGAATGTCTGTTTAATTACAGAATCACTGTAAATTACAATTTACATTTCGAATGTTAATTCAAGACAAAAGTTTGGCAACCATGCTGCCAGTTATTTCGTCGTAAATTTACGTGGAATTTTTACAGTCTACATACGGTACACACAGTACACACTCTACATACGGTACACACAGTACACACCCTACATACGGTACACACAGTACATACTCTACATACGGTACACACGATACGATACACACTCTACATACGGTACACACAGTACACACTCCACATACGGTACACAGTACGCGCTCTACATGCCGTACACACGATACGTTACACACTCTACACACAGTACACACTCTACATACGGTACACAGGATACGATACACACTCTGCATATGGTACACACAGTACACACTCTACATGGTACATTGCTAGAAGGAGACTTACATCAGTACAGTACAATATACGGTACATTGCTAGAAGGAGACTTACATCAGTACAGTACAATATACGGTGCATTGCTAGAAGGAGACTGACATCAGTACAGTACAATATACGGTACATTGCTAGAAGGAGACTTACATCAGTACATTACAATATACGGTACATTGCTAGAAGGAGACTTACATCAGTACAGAACCATATACTGTACATTGCTAGAAGGAGACTTACATCAGTACAGTACAATATACGGTGCATTGCTAGAAGGAGACTTACATCAGTACAGTACAATATACGGTGCATTGCTAGAAGGAGACTTACATCAGTACAGTACAATATACGGTGCATTGCTAGAAGGAGACTTACATCAGTACAGTACAATATACGGTGCATTGCTAGAAGGAGACTTACATCAGTACAGTACAATATACGGTACATTGCTAGAAGGAGACTTACATCAGTACAGTACAATTTACGGTACATTGCTAGAAGGAGACTTACATCAGTACAGTACAATATACGGTACATTGCTAGAAGGAGACTTACATCAGTACAGTACAATATACGGTACATTGCTAGAAGGAGACTTACATCAGTACAGTACAATATACGGTACATTGCTAGAAGGAGACTTACATCAGTACATCAGGGCTTTTTCATCATTTCAGCATGTTTATAATAACCTTGGGAGAAACCTATATATTTATAGAATACAAAATTGAATTTCTTTTTATTTCACTTAATCATTAGACCTAATGATAATTTTCTGTTCACCTGTGGCAGATAATTCAGGAGCAAATGAAACACAGCGTCAATCTACTATTTAATTTGTGTGTATTTACGAAGAGATGTCCATTGTTCACCTGAACAAAACACCTAACACGTCCAAACTTACACCTGACATGCGTTCATCTTGTAACTTCAAGGGGTATCTCCGCGTACAGAGAAATAAGGCATTCGGTGTGCAGACGAATAAGGCATCGAATGTACAAACGAATAAGGCATTCGGTGTGCAGACGAATAAGGCATCCAATGTACAGACGAATAAGGCATCCGGTGTGCAGACGACTAAGGCATCCGGTGTGCAGACGAATAAGGCATCCAATGTACAGACGAATAAGGCATCCAGTGTACAGACGAATAAGGCATCCGGTGTGCAGACGACTGAGGCATCCAATGTACAGACGACTAAGGCATCCGGTGTGCAGACGGCTAAGGCATCGGGTGTACAGACGAATAAGGCATCCGGTGTGCAGACGACAAAGGCATCCAATGTACAGACGAATAAGGCATCCAATGTACAGACGAATAAGGCATCCGGTGTGCAGACGAATAAGGCATCAAATGTACAGACGAATAAGGCATTCGGTGTGCAGACGACTAAGGCATCCAATGTACAGACGAATAAGGCATCCAATGTACAGACGAATAAGGCATCCAGTGTGCAGACGTCTAAGGCATCCGGTGTGCAGACGAATAAGGCATCCGGTGTGCAGAAAACTAAGGCATTCGGTGTGCAGACGACTAAGGCATCCAATGTACAGACGAATAAGGCATCCGATGTACAGACGAATAAGGCATCCGGTGTGCAGACGACTAAGGCATCCGGTGTGCAGAAAACTAAGGCATCCGGTGTGCAGACAACTAAGGCATCCGGTGTGCAGACGACTAAGGCATCCGGTGTGCAGACGACTAAGCCATTCAATGTACAGACGAATAAAGCATCCGGTGCGCAGACGAATAAGGCATCCGGTGTGCAGACGACTAAGGCATCCGGTGCGCAGATGACTAAGGCATCCGCTGTGCAGACTTATAAGGCATCCTATGAACAGACGGATAAGGCATCCGGTGTACAAAAGAATAAAGCATCCGATGTACAAAAGAATAAGGCATCTTATGTACAGACGGATAAGGCATCCGGTGTGCAGACGAATAAGGCATCCTATGTACAGGAGAATAAGGCATCCGGTGTACAGGAGAATAAGGCATCCGGTGTACAGGAGAATAAGGCATCGGGTGTGCAGGAGAGTAAAGCATCGGGTGTACAGGAGAAAAAGGCATCCGGTGTGCAGGAGAATAAGGCATCCGGTGTGCAGGAGAATAAAGCATCCTATGTACAGGAGAATTAAGCATCCGGTGTACAGGAGAATAAGGCATCCGGTGTACAGGAGAATAAGGCATCCGATGTACAGGGGAATAAGGCATCTGGTCTACTGGAGAATATGGCATACGGTGTACAGGAAAATTAAGCATCCGGTGTGTAGGAGAATAAGGCATCCGGTCTACAGGAGAATAAGGTATCCGGTGTACAGGAGAATGAGGCATTCGGTGGACAGGAGAATAAGGCATCCGGCGTACAGGAGAATAAGGTATCCGGTGGACAGGAGAATAAGGCATCCGGTGTACAGGAGAATAAGGCATCCGGTGTACAGGAGAAAAAGGCATTACGGTGGACAGGAGAATAAGGCATCCGGTGTACAGGAGAAAAAGGTATCCGGTGGACAGGAGAATAAGGCATCCGGTGTACAGGAGAATAAGGCATCCGATGAACAGGAGAATAAAGCATCCGGTGTGTAGGAGAATAAAGCATCCGGTGTACAGGAGAATAAGGCATACAGTGTATGTATTAAAAGAGTCATCTCGTGTACTGACTGACAATGCATCTGGTTTTATTGTGAAAAAGACATGCAGTGAACTGATGAACAATATATCCATGATAGCCAATATACAGATGACCATGACATCTAATATACAGATAACCATGATATCCTGTATACAGATGGCCATGATATCCAGTATTTAGACAACCATGATATCCAATATAGTGAGTGAGTGAGTTGATATTTAACGTCACATAGGCAATATTTCAGCCATATTGTGACGAGAACATTTGATGTTGAAATGAAATATATGTATATAATAAAAAACCTGTCGACGAAGGACAGCAAAACAACTAGAATATCACAATTACAACTAAAACTAGTATGGAGAGTTAAAACTGATAGCACTATTTGGACAATACAATATAAAAACAAGCTATAGATCGCCAACACCAGAAGGTAGATCACCAAACTAGGGACCATGGGGACTTACAGTAGCTTGGCTACCTGCATGGACCCTAGTTGGATTTACACCATCCTCTCAGCTGCTGGCGATTGTAAGAAATGTTAGCCAAAATTAAAATGACAAGAATGCTACGTTTAAAAATCCTGGCAAGTTTAAATTGACTTTGAAAGTTTTGGGACTTACGTACCCTCTCAGGAGGACAATAATTTTACGCTACGTCAACCCCCTTTGAGGGTACTGCCACTAACAATCGAAGTTACTAATATAAACTATCAACAATAAAATATTTAGCTATTTACAGATCAGTCAACAAATCTAATTCTTTTAAAAATTCAATTATTAAATGATAATTAACATTATAAACAAGATCCTTCAATGTTTTGACATTAAAATACTTATCCCTTGTGATGGAATATTCAACACAGTCAAGCAGGAGATGCTTGACTGTGATTCTTTCATCACAAGGGATGCAAAACGGAGGATCTTCGCCTTTAAGCAAATATTCATGTGTATACCTTGTATGGCCAATGCGACATCGCCGCATAATGACCTCTTCAAATCTGGACTGACAACCCAAGTAGGTGTAACCAATATAGGGTTTTATTGCATGTAATTTATCAATACCTACTTGGGTGTCCCACTTCTCACTTCTGCATCAGATCACGGATGTAGGTTCTAATGCTAGCTTTGTAATCAGAATATGGGATAAGAAGTGGCGTCACAGACTTGTTGAGTACTGCCTTAGCAGCAAGATCAGCCATTGCATTCCCAGAAATGCCAACGTGGCTGGGTAACCAACAAAAGACGATGTCGCATTGGCCAGTAGCAAGTTCATTGTACAATTCAATAATTTCTAATAAAAGTGGATGTTTACAAGAAATATTTTTAATAGCCTGAAGACACGAAAGAGAATCTGAAAAGATGATGTATTGTTTATATTTACGGTGTTTATTAATATATTTAAGAGCTGTTAAGATGGCGTTAGCTTCTGCTGTGAAAATGGAGCTGTTATTTGGTAATCGAAAAGAAAGTGTTCGGGATCCAATGACAGTGGCACATGCAACCGCGCCACAATCCTTGGACCCATCTGTAAATAAGGATTTGTATGCATTATATTTATTTCGTAATTGACTAAATTCTTGTTTATACTGTAATTCATTTGTTTCTGATTTTTTAAATGTAGTTAATGTTAGGTCAACTTGTGGCCTAACCGATTGCCAAGGCGGAGAAGAAAGAAGACGGGAAGGAGATATAGTTTCAAGATCAATGCCTGCAGCAAAATTAATTCTGAAACCAAGAGGTGGAACAAGAGAAGGCTTTTTGTTGTACAAATCCTCATAAAGA